GGTTGGTTCCATCTCTTTGCTATAGTGAGTAACACAGCAATAAATAAATGGATGTGCATATATCTGTTTGAGTTGTGGCTCTGGTTTCTTTAGGGTACATTCTAAGCAGTGGAATTGCTGGGTCAAATAGTATTTATATTTCCAACTTTTTGAGAAAGTACCAGACTGCCTTCCATAGGGGGTCTACCATTTTACATTTCTACCAGCAGTGAATAAAAGTCCCAATCTCTCCATAATCTTGCCAGCATTTGCTGTTTGTGGCTGTGTTGAACTCTGCTATTGTTGCTGGACAAACCTAAAAAAGATTTTTCAGTTAAATAAAATCAAATCCAGCAATATACAATAAATGACACAATGGATGGTGCTAACTCAGTACAAACCCCATTTGAGAGGATCAGAGAAAGCTTTTGGGAAAGGATGTCTTCTGAATGGAAACCTCATGGACAAGAAAAATATCAACAGGTGTTAAAGCAGGGGAACAAGAAAGAGCAGGAAAAAAAAAAAAAAAAAGAAAGAGCAGGGGCCAAAAAGCTTTGGATATATACAAGAAGATGGCAGAGCTATTCCATAACAAATAGGTATGTTAGACACGGCTATTAAGCTTCCAAAGAAGCTTCTTCCTATGGGAACTGTCCAAGACACAGGGTGAGCCCCTCAGGGACAAGTCTATGCTACAAGACCCTGTTCCTAGCCATAGTAACAAGCTAATCAGCTGCACAAGAACTTGGAAACTGGTTAAGACAAGCTCCCAGGCTGGGGTTTCCTGAGGCCACTCAAGACCCTGGAGGAAAGGTCTCTGATATCCTGCTGCTGAAGTCCCCAGACCTGGCAGGCCTTGTGCTTCCCTGGGCTTTTTAGCAGCTTCTGGATCCTGTGAGCCTCCTTGGTGGCCTTTCTAGAGACTTTCCATTTTAGCCCAAGTTAATGAAAGGGTTTCTGGTGTTTGTCGCATTACATAATACGACAGCAGGGAGTATTATGACAGTAGTCACAGGTTTACGTCCGTGACAATCCCTGAGACAAAGCCAAGGATCTATGAAGGGATGACCTGAGAAGCAGATCAAGTAAAAAAAGTGAGTAGCACCTGGATACTCCAATTGACAAGTTCAGCAGGACAGAGTTTAAAAGAGACAAGAAAAGATCGATGTTTCTAAACAAGGGATAGACATTCCAAAGGATGTTATTAAAAGATACCTGGGAGTACTACAGAGGGTAGACTATACAATAGCAATATATTTTTTAGCCTTCAGAGGCTAGGTGACATGTCAGTGAAATGGCATGTTCCCTTCTCTTGCTCCCTTGCCTTTGTTTCTCTCCTCCAGTCCCTACTTCAGAGTCAGGCAGACACTCAGGTAAAGTCTGCTGTTCAGATCAACTACAAAAGAAGAACTGACAAAATCAGATGACTAAACACTGGGATCAGCAGAGGGAAAGGGAAGGTCACATAGTTTCAGCCTTGGTTGGCAATTTCAATTAAAACATAATCCAGGAAGTGAGACGGGGTCGGGGAGGTTTTAAGAGGTAGGGGGTGAATGTAATAATGTTAGATTTGCCTTTTAAAAAAATTTTATTATTTTCTCTGTGTGTGTACCATCAAATTGGATCTGACTGGTACAGGAGGAGATGGCCCCTCCTTCTCCGGCAGAGCATCTGGTGGATTCGAACCGCATACCTCAGGGATTGCAGTGCAGCTTCTTGACCCTAGGCCACCAGAGCTCCCCTTAGATTTGCCTTTTTGAGGCACTGCTGAAACAACTAAGTAGGAGTTTCCCACATGCAATGTGCTGAAGTTAAGACTGTAGAACTGGTTGAGGGGGACAGAGAGGGCGGGGGGCCAGGGGAGTGGTAGACAATCCATAGAGGTGGTCGGTCCTGTAGAGTTCTGGTCACAGGCCACAGGAGCTGAGGACCCTGTATGCCAGGCCCTGAGCCAGAAGCTGAATAAGGAGGCAGAAGAAAATGTCTGCTGCCTTTGGAATCTACCATATTTCTTTTATAGGCGGTCTGGTAGCATAGTAGTTTAAGCACTGGGCTTCTAACTGAAAGGTCACTGGTTCAAGCCCACCAGCCACTCCAAGGAGAAAGATGAGGCAGTTTACTACTATGAAGACACACAGGCTCAGAAACCCTGTCCTATGGGATTGCTATGACTCAGAATCAACACCACCAGTACAGTGTTTGGCTCATTTTACATTTCTTTCAAAACTCTAGGATACAATCATAGAATTGTGTGGGAACACAATCACATATGGGATGAGCTGCCGAGGTCCTGTCTGCAACAGGAAAAACCTGGCAATGTCTGAATGTCACCCACTAAGGGGATGACAGAGTAAGTGAGGCCTATATAAGTTATTAAAATGACTGAAGCAGTTCTATACATGTTCTATGGATGTGAAATGACATGCTAATGAAGACGAGAAAAGGTCCGGAACAGACAGTACAGAACACCTTACACTATGCTTAAGAGGAATAATAGCATTGCATTGTGTGAATATACCACAGCTTCTCTATCCATTTGCTTGTTGATGGGCACTTAGGTTGTTTCCATCCCTTTGCTATTGTGAACAATGCAGCAATAAACATGGTTGTTCATATATCTGTTTGGGTGACAGTTCTGATTTCTTTAGGGTATATTCCCAGTAGTGGAATTGCTGGGTCAAATGGTATTTCTATTTCCAACTTTTTGAGAAAGCACCATATTGCCTTCCATAGTGGTTGCACCATTTAACACACCCACCAACAGTAAATTAGGATTCCAGTTTCTCAACCATCTTGCCAGCATTGAATTTTGCTAATCTTACTGGGGTGAGACGATATCTCATAGTTGTTATGATTTGCATATCTCTCTTTTTTTTTTTTTTACATTTTTTTAAATTCTTTTTTGTGCATGTACCATCAAATCAGATCTGACTGGTACAGGAGGAAATTGTCCCTCCTTCTCCGGCAGAGCATCTGGTGGATTCGAACCGTGTACCTTTGGGATTGCGGTACAGCTTCTTGCCACTAGGCCACCAGAGCTCCCTTGCATATCTCTTAGAGCTATGGATTTTTAATCTTTCTTCATGTGTTTGTTCACCATCTGAAGTGAAGTGTCTGTTCATATCCTGTGCCCAGTTTGCAACTGGGTTGTTTACCTTTACCTTGTTGTGGTGCTCGAGTATTCTATAAATTCTAGATATAAGTCCCTTTTCAGACATGTCATTACCAAGTATTTTTTCCCAGTCTGTGGTTCTTCTTTTTACACTATTGGAGAAGTTTTTTGATGTGCATAGGGATTTGATTCTTAGAAGGTCTCACTCATCTATTTTATCCTCTCCTGGAATACTATGCTGCATTGAAAAACAAGGAACTCATGAAATATACAAGATGAGTGACCCTGAAGGACATGATGCTGAGTTAGTTATCTCAGTCACAAAAGGACAAATACTACAGAATGCCACTGTTGTTATTAAATAGGACTGACAATGGGGTTGGGGGTATCTAAGAAAAGAGGGGATAAATAATGTACATTGCACGTAAACCGATGAGGGAGAGAACTACTTGAAAGGAATATATGATTAGGTATTACTTGTATGGTAACAGTCCAGAATAAGAGCTGCATAGTAAAGTGGACTGGGGTGGGGGTTGGGAAATTGTACAACAATGAAACAACTTTTTTTTTTTAAAGAAAAGCAAACTGGGAGGGCAGGGAGGAAAACGTGCAACAATGAGTGAATGGAAATCCAAGTACTCTATAAACTTCCATTACAAACTCAATTAAAAAAAGAAGAATAGTAGGAAATAAAAATCACAGACACTTACACTCGGGTTTACATTGATAAGGATACAGACTGTCTGTGAAGAGGAGAGCTGGTGGAGAAAGAGGGAGGGCGCTTTTTCCCACACATTCTCTTGTCACAAATGGACTAATTTATCACAACCACATACTTGAGATTTAAGAATAAGTAAATCATTATTATATTGGTCTCCTACTGGTGTCTTAACAAAGTGCCACAACTCTGGTGACTGGAAATAAGAGACTTACTCTCTCACTGTGTGGTCACCACACCAATATACCCCGTTCACATATGTATTCAATTCCCTTGCCTTGCTCTTACAAGCATACCTGTGATACCATTCAAGGGTTACTCAGATAAACCAGAATTCTAACTAATCATATCTGTAAAGTCTCTGTTTCTTACAGTTCTGGAGACTAAGACCTGATATTCTAGGGGATGGCTTCTGATAGTTACGTTGAGTGTTTTCTTACTGTCACAAATCAGTCTGTCTTAGAAAAAAACCAACTTCACCAGGTCCTTCAATAAGTTTTCCAAAAAATCATACTAAACCAGAAATTCACATGGTCAAGGTCTTCTAGTCTAGACCAAGCCTCGCTTTCAGCAGGGGCCAGAAGGAACACAGTCATGATTTCTTCTTCTAAGAGATTCTGAGGTGAAGGTTCAGTATTGCTCATGCTAAGACCGCCAAGCTCTGTCCTGAGCAGGCAACAGCTTCAAACGAGTGAGCAACACACTCTAATCAGACCTGCCAACTCCCTCGGAGCCAATCCTGGTCATGATCCTCAACAGGGGAAGCCAGAGAACCACATCTTTCTTCAGAAAGGAAACCTACGCTTCCACACACTCTACCCAGGCTCTATTTTAGCTCTGAACCCCAGCAAGAGCACCGTCTGTTAAAAATAGCAAAACCAAGGTTACAGTTTGACTGATTTCAGTTCTGATGTTAGGAAAGAGGTCGGAAGCTAAGCCAGTTGTAAAGCAAGGGGTCGGAAGAAAACCACAGTGTGAACACGACACACATTTCGACCTTTCTCCCCCGAGCTGCCTGACTAACCAACTCCCGTGGCTTCAGTCTAGAAGACCTGTGACATTCTACCACAGTTGGCAGAGGTGAGGAAGGAAAACCTTCAGTGAGAGTTGTCCTTTGCTCTCATACGAGCAGAGGGGGACGCTAAGGGCACACCGTCCCAGGTGAGAAAGCGAGCGAGGCAGCGTGCTTACCTTTGTTATGTGACATGGCGTAGAGGAGGCAGAGCACGAAGAGAGCATGGTAGTCATCATCGGGGCTGTCCAGGGAGTGGTACACCATATCCAGGAAGGGTCTGCAAGAGAGGGAGGGGCGCACCTGAGCCTCAGCAACACCTGTCCATGTCCACCTGCACACAGGAGGTGGGCGGCCCTGCTCTCCCATGGCTCTGCCCTCCTGTAACCCACCCACTGTCACCACACCCCCCAGGGACCATTCTAACACCAGGCACTGGGACATCAAGGGCAAGTTAGAGCATGGTTCTGCCCCAAAGAGCTGCTGATAGAAGAAACTGACCAAAGACTGCCCAGTGGCTGATCATTCAACCACCAAGTGCCGCAGACACCACGGAGAAATAAATAAGAAAGTCCTATTCCCGTGATGCTCACATGCCAGACAAGGGGACAGAGAACAAACAGACATATCCACCTTTCGAGAATGACAAGAGAAGGAAAACACTGCAGCACGCCGGATGAACAAGACCAGCCAGAGAAGGCATAAAGCAGTACTAACAACTTCAAGAACGTGGGCCCAGGAGCCAGACCACCTGGCTTCCAACAATGGTTCTTTTCTTTCCTAGAGTCATACCACTGGGCAGGTAACTAAAAGCCTCGGTTCCCCATCTGTGAATTGGAGATTGCAACCTGGCAGAGTTACTTGAAGAACTCAAGCGAAACAATGGCTAACAGGTGCTCTGTGCAGAGCCAGGCATGTACTGGAAAAGAGCTGCTATTTGGTCTTCGTTTTATAGCCAAGGGGTCCCAGTGGTACAAAAGTTAAGTACTTTCCTGCTACCTGCCAGGTCAATGGATGGTCTGGACCCAGAGCAGCACAGGAGAAAGACCTGGTCATCTGCTTCTATAAAGATTACCACCTTGGAAACCCCCATGAGGCCATTCTTCTCTGCCCTACAGGGTCACTATGAATCAGAATTGACTCCACGGCTCAAAACAATAATTTTTTTCTATTCCAAGGGCCCTTCCCTGAAATTGCATTGTGGATCCTGGTCCAGCAATTTCTTGGACTAACTTTGCCTCATGGGTAAGGACTGATAATGAAGTCTCCTGTCCCTCTCTGATGTTTTGTGGGCAAGAGACATAGAAACAGCTGGAAATATCAGAAACCGCATACCCCCAAAGCTGCCCTTCCGGGTCAAAGGTCCTGTCCAGAAAGACCCTATGATGATGGGACATGCACAGAGAAGGCCCACTGGCAGGAGGATCTGCCCACGTGGTGCTCTGCACCTGTCCTCTGTGGATGTCACTCTGAGGCCAAGAGACCACTCTAATGAGTGAACAAGAGGGCAATTAAGCCCTAGAAGGGCTCAAAGTCTCCACTCTACAGGAAGTTCTTCAAATACTCTCTACAGAGAGAAGCCGACTGAGTCTGAGAACAGGTAGACTTTTTGCCACAAAACTTTATATCCTTTGCGAATGTTAAACCATACCACTGATTCAAAATATTAAAAGAGGTAAAAGAAACAACAGTGAAAATTGCAAAGAAATATGCGAAATGCAAGAATGAAGAGAAACACTTCAGAGGACAATATTCATGTTCAGTCTCTGCTTCTTTTCAGCCTCACGGCTTCCTCATCTCAGACCCGGTGTCACCTTCCAGGTGTGTGGATGGCTTTGCAGGTGTGGGGTTCTGGAAGCCACCAATGATAATGCTTCCAGAATCGGGAAGAAAACAGGATAAAGCAGAAAACATCCTCTGGCAAAGTGGCTCCTTGGAATTGGGACTGTAGTTCCATTCAGGCCATTTGGGTCAATGCCTAACCATGAGTTTATCATACAGCCGTTATACATAATGGCTGTTTACTAAGTATACAACAAAACGAAGGGGGAAAGTCTAGATAATAAAAAGGAAAATAAAAATTATGAAAGTGGTATGGACCAAGGTATTAGCAGAAGAAAGGACATAATCCCCGAGATTTTGGCAGTGAAAAGACTGGTAGGAAGAAACCAAACTGTGAGCACTGGAATCATGGAGACCTTTTGTTCTCCATATGCTTTAAGGTTATTAGAAACATTTTATAAAGGTGTATTACTTCTTCAATTTTTTCCTGAAAGCTTTTAAAACTAGTTTGTCACGTCTATATTAGAAGCACTACAAAGCACTTCCACTGCTAGGCCTAAAAGCATTGCTTTAAACCTGTCAGCTAAGGAGGAGTGGTAGCCAGACACCATGAAGATCACAGTGCTGGACTCCCTTCAGACCATTCTGCTCTGTCCTACAGGGCAGCTATGAGAGAAACTGACTTGACAGCAGAGGACCTGGGTTTTGGCATGTCTATAGTAAAACCCATGGACTGCCAGAACAGGTTTATCCTTGAGAGGGTGAAACCAGACTGCTCCTTGGAGGCAAGGATTCTGAAGCTTCATCTGACGTACTTTGGACATGTTACAAGGAGGGACAAGTCACTGAAGAAGGATATCATGCTTGGGAGGGTGGAGGAACAGTGCAGGAGAGGAAGACCCTCGAGATGGATTGACTCAGTGACTAAGGTAATGGGGTATGTCAGAGATAGTGAGGTTAGCACAGGATAGAGCAGGGTTTAGGACTGTTGTACATAGGATCGCTATGAGTTATAAGTGACTTGATGGTACATAACAACAACAACAATGTAAAACTCAAATGGAGACTTAGCCATAATATCTGAGGACTGTAAGAATATTGTTTGTTGTTGTTACATGCTGTCAACTCAACTTTAACTCATAATGAACCTGATCTATGATCTGAACCTTGTCCTATCCTCCCACCATCCTCACCATCAAGTCCATGCTCAAGTCCAACTGTCACTGCTAAGGTCTTCCTCTTTTTCACTGACTATTGACCTTTCCTAGAAGAGGTTCCTCTTGACAAAATGTCCAAAGTATGTGAGGTGAAGAGTAGATCTGCTTTGTCTTGGGCTGTTTCTCTGGGCTTTTAAGGTCAAGGTCCAATTTGCAACATGGAGAGCACACTGCCACCCTCCTTGCCTCAGTGCTGGGAGATGGAACATCCGAGGGCAGCAGTGTCGTTTCTGATCACTTACAAATGAACCTTGTAGGAGGAGGCTGTTCTCACCTTGAGCCAGTCTCTTCCTGCCACTTAGGATCAGGGAGACATGAGAACTGACCCAGAGGTTGGTAGGTTTTGCACTGACAAGCCTGCACATGGGCCAACTCAAACACCCACTCCATTTCCCTCCTAAATCAAGTGCTGGAAGACGCCAGTTAAAGTCATACAAGTTAAGAAACAACCTATACTGACCCTAAGAAAACCTTTATTTTTACAAAGATTCAGAAAAAAGAGCCTCCAATGCCAACAGCTAAGCATAAGGCTTTAGTTGGTCTGTTTCTCTCTGCTCCCCTTCTCTTCTAATTTTGGCAATACAAGTGCTTTTCTTCCTTTAGCAAAGCTAAAGTATCACCATACTATGCAAAAATATATGCTCTGTTTCCACTTCTTAGCTTAGGAAAAATTGGAAGCATCATGACACTACTCATTTAAAAGCAGCAGTTCATACTCTTATTAAGCAAATAATTTGTTTAAGCATTCCCCAAGGCTTGTCATTCCTGGTTTTTCCAATTATGCACCTTCTAAATAACACAGTGCTGAGCTTTATAAAGGACTTTCTTCCCTCCTTTTCTGTGTTTAAATGATTTCCTTCATTTTTAGAGTGTCATGTGTTACAATTCTCCTGCCAAGTAAGATCAAAGAGTTTTTTATTAAGTTACAATTGATAGCCTGCACCACCCTTCAATATGTTTTTTATTTAAGAAAAACTAAAATTGGTTCCCTTGTGCATCTGATAAAAATTAATTCCATCTGTTAGGTAATTGCTGGGCTTTGAACCAGTATTTCCCGGTTCAGTCATGACTGATGAAGTGAAATCAGGGTGGACCTGAATTTATAAAACGTGGGTATGTCAGAACAATAACCAGAACAGGAAAAGTTACACATTACCACCTTGCAAGAAACTTCATCTCTCTCTTAGTAAACAAGGGCAGCACACACATTGCCTTGCAACCAAATCTCGTGATCCTCAGAGTCAGAAACAACAATGTCCAGCTCAAAGATGGTGGCTGACCATGTTGCTCTGAATGTGTATCTTCATAGTCCTGGCAGTAATTAATAATCTTGCACCAAGTTCTTGGAAGGGTATGCTATGGCTCTTCTCCATTCCATTCCAGGGCCCCATTCCCAGGCTTCAACCTGTAATTTTCCCATTGCAGTACACTCACTTGTTACAAATTTGGAACTGCCCTGGGTTTGGTTCTTCAGCCATGACTGAACTGGTCTGAACCAGTTCAAAGGCCTGAGTAACTGAAATATTTGCCAAGCAAAGAGGAGATGGGGGGGAGGGGGAATTAGTGTGCTTGTACACTTAACTTTAATTTGGATTAAGAATAAAAGAATAAGTGTGTGTATTTCAGAAGTGAATGCCTGGTAGACTGACAAGAGGAACTCTATAGGGGGTGTGTGCAGTGGGGCCCTTTCATAAGGACATCACCCTGAAATAAAGCCTTCCTAACAGTTCACTGCACACTCTGGAAGCAGCCTCCTCCAATCTTTTCTTGAAGAGTGATGCTTCAGTAAGGTTCCAAGAATGTGGTGTGTGAAAGGTCTGAGAAGGTTTAGGTTCAGTGGACTATCATGTAAATGAACAATCAGGCAGAGCTGAAAGTGAGGAGGAACACAGATCACAGCAGCTGACTAAAACGGCGGTGATGCACAGGGTAGTGAATGTATGAAAGCGGGGAGACCCAAGCCCAGCCCTAAGGTGAGCCTTCTGAGATACAGTCACTGCAAGGCAGAGCCACACTCTCTCGCACAGGGCCAAGCACCACAGTGCGCTGGGGATAGTGGCAACATAGGTATGTCAGTCTCTTCTCAAGGGGGGACTACTACAATGTCACCTGGACTCTGTCCCCTCTCAAGAGGAGCCATGCCTCTGGTGGTCACAGGGTGGAAGAGACACAGGGCAGCAGGAAGACTGAGCTGAGAGATCGAAGAGCCTCTCGGGTCCTTAGTGATCATCTTGAGCAAGGCACTGAGCCCCTCCACTGAGTCCATCTTTGTGAGACACCAATTCCCACCCACTGGCAGGCAGGCGACGCCTTGTCCTGGGCCACCCCTGTCTGAGGCACACAGTGCACCCAAAAAGGCTGCTCTCCTTCGGCACTAGCTGCTTCACTGTGCACTGTTGCTGCAGACTGTAACAGCCCCACCTACAGCACATGGCATGCCCCTTCGAGTGGGGCCCCTCTGACCAGCTACCTGTTCCACTGCATGCTGGCACTGTCGCCCGTGGCAGCGGCGCTCTTCTCTTCATCCGTGGTGTTCTGCTCTTGCATGGAGGTGCCGGCAGCCACTTCCGCCAGCTTGCTGCGCTCCATGATCACCATCTCTATCTCTGGAAGCAAACACGGAAAAACTGGGATGAGGCCAGAAAGCTTGCAGACCTACGCTTACAGACATAGTCATGCTCAAGCAGAAGTACATCTCGAGTGTTCTCTGTGTGTGTCCAGCAAATTCTCCACAGTGGAGTCACGTGCACCATCACCACACTGGGGAGAAACAGGACGGAGGCCAGAACCTCTCTGTCCACTCATCTCAGGAGCAAACAAGAAATGTGTCTTTGATTTGACCCAAACTATGAAGTGCAATCATTTCTTTCAGCATCAGATAAAGATACTTTATTAATATCACACTTCCTTCCCACAGGATTTGAGGCAGCTTAGGAGAAATGACATGTGGTCAATAGAATATAATTAAATTCACTGAAAAGATTCAAAACCTGCACATATCATAGAGAGGGATGTGACCTAATTCCAAAAGCTGATGTTTTCTCCCTTCTACTAGCAGCTTCTAGAAGAGTGTTTGGGTACCTTGTTTTATTTCCCCCAATTCAGCAAATGCAAAACTAACTTAGAGTGATGAACTGAATCATGGGAAAACATTTCCTTTCCAGAAAAATTTACGAACTTGTGAACAAAGAACTCAAACTAAAGTCGGGTGGCTCTTGCTTTTACGGTCTCTCAAAACAATGGGGCCCTTGATTGTGCACTCTCCTATGCTGAAGAGTCGCAGAGGAAAAAGCGAGAAAGACGATGAAACGTGAACCTCCACTTCTGTGTCTGAAAGGAAAATGCACATCGTGGACACCGAGCTGCCCCCACTAGTCCCCTCTAATCCACAGACCTTTGTCTTCCCCTGCCCCTACTCCAGCCTGTTCTCCACACAGATTCACAGTGATTTTAAATGGAAATTAGCGCGTATCATCTTTCTACTCAAAACTCTCCAACACCTTTTCTCATCACACCCAGGATGAAATCCAAGTGTCATGCATGAGCTGGCCCCTGTCCACCTCTGAGCTCACCTCCCAGTACTCTCAGCCTCACCCTCTCACTCTCTAGTCCTAAATGCCTAAGCTGGTTTCGGCCGTGGGACCTTTCCACAGCTGGGCCCTCTGCCTAGAACCCTCTCTCCGGGGTCTTCCCTTCCCATTACTCAGTGACATCAGTCAGTGTAAACGTAACCTCCTAGGAGACACGTTCTCTTACACTCTCTCACCCACTTTTGCCTTTACTTCTTTTTCATTTATTATTAACTAAACTCCACTGCTTGTTAGGAACAAACCAGACTGTCTTGGAGGATATGCAACCAGATTGTTTCTCAAAGGCAAGAATGGTGCAACTCCTCACATAATTTGGGCATGTCGTCAGGAAGGGCTGGTCCTTAGGAAAAGATATCATGTTGGGAAAGGTAGAGGGTCAAAGAAAGAAAGATCCTCAACAAGACAGACTGACGCAGAGACTCTAATAAAGGGCTCGATGTTATTTGACATTATCAGAGAGAGTGAGGATGGCTCAGGACAGGACATGGTTCAGGTCTATTGTTCAAAGGGTTGTAATAAGTGTAATCAACTTGTCAGACCATAACAACAACAACAACCAAAAAATTCCATATCCCCCTTGTGACTGTATATGCAACATACTGTGGTGGCTTACACAGTTCCGTGATGTTGGAAACTAAGCCACTGGTATTTCAAATGTCTTGACGAGTCAACCACGGTGGACAGTCTTTAGCAGAGATTCCAGATTAAGACTAAAAAGAAAGGCCAGAAAATCTCCTTCCAAAAATTAGCCAGTGAAAACCCCAAAGATCACAACACGATGATGTCCATAGTGCTGGGAAACGTCACGAGACCAGGCAACACTGGGTTCTGTTCCACATCAGGTCACTGTGACTGAAAGGAAACTCAGCTGCATGGGCCCCCCAAGCTTACAGGGGCCAAGTCCTCGTGCCTCAGCCTGGAGAGCAAGCCTGCCGTGAGGTGGCTCTTTCCTCTCTGGTTTTTCATTCTCTCTGGACATCGTAAGAATTCTGGAGGAGAGGAAAGGAGAGGCTAAATATAATCCTATCCAGAGCTGTTCAGTTTTTCTTTTGAGCAGCTGGAGCCTAATGTGGGATGGCATTTTCATGGCATCGCACCAGATGCTAGAAGCAGGGCTGTTCTAGTTGGAGCACGGGTGGGTCCTAAGCCCTCCCATGCATGGTTCCCTCGGGCACTCCACAGAGGCCTCAAAGGCCCCTTTCCCAGAACTCCAGGGCTTCCCACAAAGTGCATGAAAACCACTGGCTAGGTCCAGCGCTAGATGTTGTGTGTGAGGAGACAGGAGCCCAAAGTGCAGTACTCCCCTGAGGCCACACAGCTGAGAATGCAGCAAAGGGAGCCAGGAGGGGCCCTGCCACTTGCATTCCACCCTGCATCCCATGTCCGGTGCAGGGCAAGGGCTTCTCCAGGCATAGCGAGGCCCTTGACCTCGGTTGCACCTTGGTCCTCACAGCTGCACCAGCCCTCCCCCATGCACGCCTTCCTCAAGCCAGCAGAGCTGTGTGATAATTGGCTTTACTGAGATTCAAGTTCTAGATGAATATAGACTGTCTTCCAATGTTCAGTCTTTGGGTTTTTTGGAAAAGTTTTATTTTAAAAAAATCTCAAAATCTGTTAAGAAAAAATAGCCTTGAGTCTAACTTACTGAAAGTAAGTTCTATTTTTACATAAAATTTATAAAGGTGGGCGTGGGCATGGTAGGCACTGTTTTTGGCGAGAGGGTCTCTCCAGTTTCTCAACCTTAAAATCGATTTTACAGCCACCTTTTGAAGATCATGTGGGAGAGGACTGGAGTCACAATGGACTTGGGGTCACAATGAACCGGAATTTCACACGGAAAGTCCCACTTGGCTCTGGGTGGCCATGCCTCCTCCTCCTCCCTGCTGCCATACCATGCTTCACAGCCTCCCATGGACCGACACTTCACACGGACCTGGATGGATTCACCTGAACCCAGAATGGCCCTTGAGCCCAGGATTCAAGTTCTCAGGATGGATCTCCAAGGGCCTCCATCTGAACCTCAATTATTAGACTCTGAGCCTCCACCTACCCTGTCGGGTTTTTGTGGGGGGTCCGAACAGCCTGTGGCCTGCCTGTAGTATAGACTCTGCTATGTGTCAACCCCAAATTTGTATAGCCACTGAGTCAGAACTGGCTCATCCAGGACCCTCTAGCAGGTGTTTAGAGGCTGTAAATTGCATGGGAGGAAACTGTCTTTCTTTCCCCTGCACAGTTGCTGGCGGTGGATTTGAACTGCCAGAGGTGACTCCTAGGGGTTGGCCGCACAGCTCCCTACAGACTACACCAGCAGGACTTTCCCCACATCCATACGGCCTCTCCTATTTGTTAGTGATTTAATCACTTTTCTTGAACTGTCTTACTTTTTTTTTTTTTTAAAGAAACCTATTTTTAAGGAAAGTTTTAGACCATTATTATACTGTGTAACTCAGCAAGACCACTTCTAGGAATTTATCTGAAAGATAGATACACATCCAGTAATATGAAAAGGCACACATACAGGCTGTTCATTGCAGCACTGTTTGAAATTGCAAAATACTGGAAACTACCTAAATGTCCAAGCTCAGGGCCTGGGTATATGTGATGTACCCACACGCACAGAAGCTAGGAGGTAAAATAAGGAAATCTCTGGGAATGGATATGGAGGGGTTTCTGGAGATGCTAGTAAATTAGAAAGAGTGACATGCAAAAATGGGCATAGTATATGAGCCTGCATGTCTAATATCAAGGAACAGAGGAAAATACACATGTATCTATCTATTTTCATAAAAAGACACACAGCACAGACAGAGCAGAACACAATCAAGCTAGCTATCTATGAGTAGTGGTGGGGAGTGGGGAGTGGGACAGAGGGATCTGAGCTGGGGAAGGATACTTCTTTCAAAGTAGATTTATACATAGTTTTGACAGTATGTTAATATTTAACGTATTCAAAAAAGGAAATGAAATCAATAAGGATTGAAAGGAAGGAACCCTAATATAGAAAGCAGGGGGGGGTGGGGGGAGACCCTAAATTGATTTCAAAGGATCTGAAGCTTGATTCTGCACCATTCTTACAATCTCCACCATACTCAAGCCCATCCATGTGATCACTTATTACGAGTGACAGTGAGTCTTAACCCACATCACTAAAGATCTTTCTTTCTTTCACTGACCTTCCACTTTTCCCTGTATGGTGCCTTTTTCCAAAGACTGATGTCTCTTGGCAACATGCCTGACATGTGAGATAAAATTCTACTATCCTTGCTTCTAAAGAGTAACCCGGTTTGATTTCTTCCGAGACAGTTTGTTTGTTCTGTGTGTGTGTGTGTATACAGTCAAATCGCATCTGACTGGTACATGAGGAGATTGCCCCTCTTTCTCCAGCAAAGCATCTGGTGGATTTGAACTGTGTGCCTCTGGGGTTTTAGTGCAGCTTCTTGCCACTAGGCCACCAGAGCTCCCCAGATTTGTCTGTTCTTTTGGCAGTCCGTGGTATATTAGATAATGTCTTATAATACCACAATTCAAAAGGAATTCATTAATCTTTGATCTTCCTTATTTACTGCTCAACTTTCAGATGCATACAAAGCAAATGAAAATACTATAGCTCAGATCAGGTACATCTTACATCTTAGTGACATCCCTGCTCTTCAGCACTTTAAAGAGGTCCTTTACAGCAGATTAGGCCAGTGCAGTAAGTCTTTTGATTTACTGACAAACAGATAGTAAGAGAGACAAGGGAAAGATCCTGCTTACAGCAGGATACCGAAGGTTGACTTTAAACACAAAAGGTGGTGCTGAATTTGGAAGATCATAATTTTGTGACCATAAATGATAAGATTGCATCAATGGATGCCAAATCTAGGGGGAGATTTCTGTGAGGAGGAGGATTTCCACACTGTCCCAGTGTGTCCCCACAGAATTTTTACTGGCTGCAAAGAAAAGAATTATAGAATGGTGAAACTAGGTGTCATCTTAACCAGATAACCAAAATTAACATCACCAGGAGAGGCATC